CTACTTTGACTCTTCCCCTACCTGAAGTATCCCGAAACGTCCATCTTCACCCATGGTAACAGCGCCAGCGTGAGCACTTCAGTCTCATGCCTATGGCAGAAGAGGTACAAGGTAGTGAGCTTGCAAGGCTGGAGAAATAAATTCTCCAGAGCCCCTAACTCTGCAGGAACTGCTCATTGAAACCAATGTGAAATTCCCTTTAATCGATAAGTGTTGTGTCCTTTACAGAGCAACGGGGGAGGAACACAGCCAGCTGTGGATGAACTGTCAGCCCCATCACCCGCTGCAAGGGGATCTGCAGAGGTGCCCGCCGCAACCAACAGCCCCATTCAAAAAAAAAAAAAAAAAAGATCCTCCTGAAGTTTCAAAAATGAATGAGAAAACCTGCTTCTCTGAAAACTGTCTATGCCAGATAGTACTCACTAGTTCTGCCAACAGAAACAATTTTCTACCAGGCTACTGGGACATTTGAGAAACCGTTGTCAAAAACTGCTTATATCTCTAAGAGAAAAAAATTGATAACTGGCTATAGTACAGTTTTGTATTTGTATGGACTCCTGGGACAAATAATAAATAGGACATTGTGACTCTGAAAGTATCTTTTAGCTGGGGATCTTCTTTGTAGGTTTGTCTGTAAGTTTGTAGGTTTGTACAGATAAATACATGCAGACTCCAGAGTGAAGACTGTGATTCCCAGAGAGGCTAAGGGGAACAGGACGGCCAGTCATCGAGAACTGGTCCCTGAAATACCTCATACTGAAATGGACCAAAAGCCTTTATTCTTAGTAATGTGCCTGCTCGTGTTTGTTTGTTTTAAAGAAGTTTATCTTTCAGACACATTTTTTGAGACACAGAGTTTATTCTTGAGAAAAATAAACATATATCAAAACCAAACACATTAAATCAGAACTTCTCTTTCAGATGGACCAACTGAAAGGTCTGAAAGCAAATTTGTGCCACAGCCCCAAGACGACAGTCTTCCCACTCTCGTTCTCAGGAGAGCTCCCTGCTCCCACAGCCCCATCCCACCTCCCAGCAACTTCTGCACCACTGAACGAGACACAGGACCGACAGGGAACTTGCACCCTTCTGCAGCAGCTCCTGGCACCAGGCCCAATATCCCCAGCACCCAAAATGAGCCTGGCTACCTATGCTTTGGCAGATGAATCCCACCAGCAGACTCCTTCCCCAGGAGGTTTCTCTTCATCCCCCAGCAGCCTCCCTGGCTGGATGTCCTCTGCTTCCTGCAGAGAAGGAGTGGTTCCCCTCCCACCTCTCTGAGCCACAACACAACAACCCCTGGCCAAGGCCAGCTCGCAGCTGCCCCAGTCCGCCTGGCCACACTCTTTTAGGAAGATACAGAGTATAACAGGATTTGTTTAAAGAACACCAAACCTCACAGTAGTCCTGCTGCCCCTCACAGTCCAGTTACTTAAGACTTGGTATTTACATTTCCAGGATCTACTGAATCAATGGAGCCCATAAAAACAAACCAGAGAACATTAAAAACTAAGCACAGACATTCCTCCAAGACACTTATCAAGGTAGGAGAAAAACTACTATAGTTATTATTGTTGAGAGCCTGACAGAACTGTGAGCTTTCCTGGAGAAATTCAAACCAGCAATAAATATACCTCTTTCTTTACAATGCAGCAAATTTTCCTTCTGCGCTATTTTTAAGATATTTGTAGCAACAACAACAACAAAGGAATAATATTACATAAATTGATATATTCTATATAGAGTATACTAGAAATCCTAAACTACCTAATGGTACTATTGGCATATACAAATCATTAAATTTTGCTTAGCTATTCCTTAACCACAAGTTTTTAAATAATTCTGTTCAATTAATATTCTTTCAGGTTAGTCCTGCTGTAGATCCCCAAAAGTTAAATTTAAATATCAGTTGGTGACTTGATTCAAGCAAAAAAAAAAAAAAAGAAAAAGAAAAAAAAAGAAAGAAAAAGAAAGAGAGAAGGTATCCCCTGTAAAAAGGTGAAGAATTTGGTATTTATCCATTTATTAGAGAGGATCCATTTAGAGTTTACTTGTGATGGAGCAGGCATTTGGCTTTACAACAGGCTAGATCCAAAAACCAGACAGTATCTGTCTCTTCATTGTGGACTGTATGCTGTCAACAATTTATGACAACAGCAGAACTGAAGTATCATCCTCCCTTTGGGACCACCTTACCAAAAAGGTCTATTATCCTAATAATAATAATAATAATGTTGGTAATGGCAGCCTGGGCATCCAGCCACTTTCCTCTGCAGAGACAGCTGAGGATTGGACCATGGGAAGCATTTCAGCTCCCATGCCATCTTAGCCCTTGCCAACGGGTTGGCAATCATTATAAAACCTGTGTCTACAGCCTGATTCTGGAATGGGTCTGAAGATCATCTCTGAGAAGAAATGGTGCAAGATTTCCTGAAAAACAAACCCTGTCTGAAAGACAGCTCCAGAATATTAGATCACTTTATGCCACAGCACTGATGACCTTCCAACTATGTGTATACACAGTACTTAAAAAAAATGCAGAAAATTGGAGAGGATTGACATCAGCTGACAGCTTTTTTTTTTTTTTTTCCAAGTCCATTTGCTGTTTTTCTGTCTGTCATTAAAAGACAGGAGTTTGTGTCTCTGTGGTCAGAAATCTTGTCTGCTTGGGTCTGTTCTTAACCAGACATGTCCCAGTACAGGAGAGGGGCCCCAGCTGTGAGATGGATACAGCCAGGCAGGAGGAGGTAGGCACTACGGAAACAAGTAGGGAAGAGCTGTGGATGGCGGTCAGCGAGAGCATGCAGTATGGGTGTATAGCTGAGGGATACGCCAGTCTTCAGAAGCAGATTATGCCTCTCCTACCCAGCGCGAAAGGAATACGACTACTGCAGCTTCCCTACAGTTGCTCCCTTTCCGGTTTGGTTTGCAACCTTCTACTTTAAGTGGCACCTCACTCAACTAAACCGTAAGCGTCCTCAAATATTATTTATAGACCAATAATTGGTTAGGCTGGCAACGACCTACAGTTGTCACCATCTGCCCGTTGCTGGCTTTCAGGAAGTGAATTGGTCTTTTTACAGTATGGAGCAGGCCAGGTGTCTGCATCATGACAAATCTTCATGAAAAATCTCAGCGGCACAACTGCTACTAAGTGATGCCCCAGATGGCTGCGGAGCAGCCCCCGGTGTGACCATGCTGGGAGCAAAGAGCATGGCACCAGGCAGGGATGTGCATAGAATGGCTCTGGCTAGGCAGGTGGGAGCTGAAGAAATCCCCTCTCCAGGGCTTGTGCTCCTGACCTCTACTTCAGAACGGAAATCATTTAAAACGTGTAAAAGACAATGTGCTTCCTTAAAATGGCACAATGTAAGATCTGAATCTTGCCGTGCTTTGAAAGCTGTGAAATCTTCACCTTTGCTGGCCTTGTGCTATCTAATGCAATTTAGCATATTCTTCCCTCCACTGAGCTATCAATGACATCTTACGCAATGATCGGATGAAATAGGATGACAGAATCTGCAGTTTTGAACATAAAGCAAAAACATGGCTTTTTTTTGGAACAGCTCAATCATTTTCTCCCTCGAGCTCCTCAGACTTTTCCATTTCTGCTCCCCCCAGCAACTTTGCCACGGAGGGGGACACTGAAGTGCATGACCTTATAGAATTAGCTACCTGCACAACTGCAAACATAAACTCTGTGCTCTCTGAGAAGTGATCAAAGACGCATTCTTTTTCATCAAAATTGAACATGTTAACTCAACTGCCATGAAAAACTCTGTACTATTGCAGTCAAATTTAAATGGCTGTTCAGTGATGCACAACCACCTCTTGATATCTTCTTTTAAATTCTAGCCTGCTTTGTCTCGCTAACAAAACCAGTTACAATTATATTTTTCATTCTTTCCACATCCCCACCAACCACCTGCGGTCAGAGCCCATGTTTCTCATCCAGTCAGGTCACACTCTGTACCTGTCGATGTGGAGATGACCTGAAGTAAATGGATAACACAACCCACCTGCTACCCGACTCTTGTATGGAACGAGCTACAGGAGAGTTTCTAAGAACTTAAATACATTGGCAATTGGGAGCTGGCTTCAGAAGCATATAGAAATAAAATATAAGTGAGAATCTTTTTGTGGTCTGTTTTTAGTCATTACCAGCCTAGATTTTCTGACTCTTAGCACTTCAGCTGCCTTTAGAATTTCTCAGCACTTCTCAGTTAGGATCAAATTTACTGACATTACAGAAACTAGCCCGTAATTTAGAGCAGTGGCACTCTTCTACCAACAGAAGCCCAACACTGCATTAACCAGGTTGATCTGAAGTACAGAAAAGCAGAAAAATGGCAAATGCATCTCCAGCATAGCACCTCTCTACACTGTGGCCATCTGACAATATTAGGTGATACTGGATAGTATTACTCAGCTTTCTAGAGATCTTCTACTTGTACCTACACAGCCATAGTTTCAATAGCCTCTTCTCCTGCTGCAGATAACGTGCATCAACAGCTCACTCAGTTTATACCTAATTCTCCACAGAGGACAGCAACAGAGGCACTGACTTCCCTAGGACAGGCTTGCATCAGGCTCCTTTCAGAGCAGAAGAGTCACCCCCACATGAAGCTGTGACACTCAAGAGATGCACCTCCAGCACAAGTCATGTTTCCTGGAGAGGAAACCTCATCACACAGAGTAGATGTAGCTCCTGTCTCATTATTTTTGTTCACTTCTCCACTTACACTCACACCACACACCAAGAGCTTAGTTTTCACATTGTAACTGCACAGCATAATGGAATGGAAATTCCTGTGCAACACTTTTCATGCAGTCCTATGGCACTACTGCAAGGAGAGGTTTTGTTCTCCTCCACAGCACAGGGGAGCAAAAACAATGACAAAAGGGTACGCTTTGATCACTCGCTGCCTGCTGCGCCTCAGGGCAGTGCAACATTCAGCCCCCTCAGCACTAATCTCACTTTCCAATATTTCATTATTTAACTGCAGTTAGCATTTTTCCCTAAAGGATAAGAAGCAACGTAAGAAATCCTTCAAACCCCTTCTCTCTACCCTCCAAAAAAAACTCCAAAT